TATTTGTCATGCTTCTTTTCACCGGCATCAGTAAGAGTAATTACTTACTAAAAAATGGCAAAGGATAGGAGTTGGGTTTTGATAGATGATCATCGATTAGATGCATTTCTAAAGGGTTGTGAAGAAATTTTGGCTTTTGCTTTTAATAAGGCTGCAATCGAGGATAAAATATGGTGTCCATGTTGAGATTGTGAGTGTAGAAAAATTGGGAATCGGGAATTTTTCCATGGACATTTACTTTGGAGGGGTTGGGATAAATCTTATGGTTTAGGCCAATGGTTAATGCACCTAGAGTCTAAGGAAGAATATCTTCTCGGACATTAGGTTTGTGAAACAAATGAAGGTACTGATTTCAAAATTTCTGAAGTTGAAGATGTGAATGAAACTGATGGTAGTGCGAGCGGTCGTGAGAACATGGATGAATTGTTGCAAGCACGTCTTCATCTTGATCATCTTGATCATCACGAATCATTTGAAGACTCTACACCGGGAGTTGATGATTTTCGTAAACTCATTGAAGAGTGGTGTATCCCTCTATATGATGGATGCCAAGAAAATTCTAAACTTTCATTTGTGATGGAATTCTACAAAATTAAATCTCGAGGCAAGATGAGCGATAAGACGTTTTTAAATGCACTCCAACTAATCAAAAAGATTCCTGGTTTAAATATTTTCGACTCTTTTTATGACATTAAGAAGTTGATTGGGAAATTGGGGTGTGGTTATGTGAAAATTGATGCATGTTGTTCTAGAAGGATGATATAGGCATAGATTCATGTAGAGTCTGTAATACTTCACGATGGAAGACTTCCATGGAGAACCAGCCGCGTTCTTCAATCACTCGCCGCAAAAGAGTACCCAAAAAGTTTTGCGACACTTCCCCTTGATTCCGAGGCTTAAGCATTTATTTATATGTGAGAGAACATCCATTAACATGAGATGGCATGCGGAGACTTGATACAATGATGGAGTTCTCAGGCATCCTGCTGATTCCGATGCATGGAAAGAGTTCGATAAGAAACATGAGTCATTCTCTTTGGAACCCGAAACGTAACGCTAGGTTTGGCTAACTAGGTGCAAAGAAATGTTGGAATAGATGAAAATCTCAGTGTCTTAGCTAGTTCCCCTGATTTTAGAGTAAAGACTTTTAAGACATTTGATTTTTAAGGGTTTACATTTCGTACAAAATCATCTGAATAATCTCATTTTACTCAAAATAGTGGTGCTTTTGTCAAAGCATTGTATTTGCCCTCTTTTTGGTGTTGACCTTGAATCTGTTGATCATATCTTCATTTCGTGTGTGGTTATTAAACAACTTTTATTCACCTCTAATTGGAAAATTTCTCTTGAACCTTTCATTGATTTTGGTGTTAAAGATTTTATCACTCTACTGCTCAAGAAAAATGGTGGTCTGCTTTATAATGACCTTCTTCGTGAAGAATTATTAGTTTCGTTTGCAGTGTTTTTTGATGCTATTTGGTCTAATAGGAATATGGTCACTTATGGTCAACTTCGTGCTTCCTTCCAGGAAATGCTCTTTATCACCTCAAAAAAATCGGCTTCTCACTGGTCCAGCCAACTCTCAAGCGATCTCATAGATGGGAAGTCTCACTACCAGCATTAGAAGAAGCCCCCCTCCAAATGGTTTAAGATCAACACAGATTGTTCGTTCATTAATGGTTATGCTTCTGCAGTTTTTGTCATCTGAAATAGCAATGAATTCATTGTGTTTGCCCATGCCAAGCAATACCACTGCCATGATTCCCACGCAGTTGAGGCTTATGCTATTCGTGATGCCTGCCTCTTCATCAACACAAAAAAAAGATTAAAAATGCTATCTTCGAGGCTTAGTGCCTCAATGCTATTCTTTTCATTAAAGATTGTTCTTCCCGATCCATTGATCTTCAAGAGTGCTTATTGATGAAATTCGGAAATTTTGGTCTCATTGGGCAAAATGAAAATTCAAATATTGCCCTAGGAATGCTAATATCTCTGCCCACAATTAGGGCTCGCATATATATATATATATATATATATATATATATATATATATATATATATATATAGTTATTAATATAGTCGGATTTTATTTGGATTGAGCCATGGTAAGCTCAAACTGAACTCATAATTTAATGTGATTTAACGAAAATGCTCAAACTCGACCCGACTCATAATTAATCGGCCTCGGCTCATATAAAATCGGGTCGAGCCATCGGGCTTCCGGTAGGCCCGGCTCAATTGCCGGTCCTACTCACAATCTAGCAAAATAGGGTTTTGTTTCCAAATGGAATGGTGTTGTATCTGCTTCGGTTATTCCTCCTTCTTGTGTGTGTGACTACTGTGACTTTGGTTTCCCGCCTGCAAACTCTTGTTTTGGTCTTAATTAAATTCATTTTTTATTATCAAAAAAGAAAAAGCAAAAAAAAAGAGGTGTATATGCCAGACCAACCACTGGCTTTGTATACGTAGGCTCACATCGAATGTTCAAGACGTAAGCGTTCTACAACTATCGACATGACAACGAATCTACCTAGATCACCTACTCGCGCACAACAACCTACATTTGTGTTGCTAATTAACATACCAAAGTAAGTAATACTACATTACCATTATAGATGCTCAATTAGTATATCACAACTTATAACAATGACATATTCAAAACTATTAGTCTTATAAGCAATTTTAAATAAAGCAAGTCAACCAAAATCCAAAAATCGCACTACCTAAAAAACTACATGATCTCTTTGAAGAAATTGATAGTGCATGTAAACGAAAAAACTACGAGTCCATCTTACGAATAACGAGAATCGCTATTGAGAATACAAATTATAAAAAAAAACTTTTTATTTCTTTTTTCTCCCTCTTCTTTGCTTTTTTATCTTCCTTTCTTCGTTATCTTTAATGATTGCAAGGCTTTTAAATGTTTTTTGCAAAAAATGAAGGAAAATAAAAACAAAAAAAATAAAAAAAATTAAGAATTTATGTCAAAAAAAAATTAAAGTAAGAATTTTTTTTTTATTAAAAATTGAAATCATAAAAATGTTTGGTGTTATACACTAATAACCTATACATCTATACTTATGGATGAAAATCAGACTGATTAGATTGGAATTAATATTTTATAAGAAAAAAATCGGAAGTAAAAAACTAATTCCGATTTCATTACTAATAATTTCATAAAATTATAAATCACAATTTTGGAAATTCAAATGAAAAAACATGTTACAAAATAAGAAATTTTCATATTGGAATCTACGGGAATTGAGACTTCCAAATTTGTAGTCACCTATATTATTTATAATAGGATTATTAGTGAGAATCTCCCAATACATTAGATTATATGAGGATGGATCAACCCTCTTTTTCATTATTAGTCATACCCCTACTAATTGATTAAAATTAATATTCTATTAAATTATTATTTAATATTCCTAATTTTTCCTTTTATTTCTTGTCAAACCCGATTTTTCTTCTCACATCTCCTAAGGTCTCTTCACACACCGCTCTTTCTTTTTTCTCTCCCCTTCTCCATCTCTCATCAGTTTTCTCTCATGTTTCGTCATCCCAATTTTCCGTCGAATTTCTCCCTGTTATCTTTTCCCTATCACCGCTGCCATCGAGGCTAATGAGAATTGCGCTGTTGGAGCAGCCGGAGAAGGACAATTGGACCGCGACCGACGTATTTGTTAATGATGGATTCGTTCAATGTGGAAGCTTTCAAAATTCTCGTCATCGTGTATTATTTTTATTACCGAGAGAAACAGGGCTACGGTGACTTTGTCTTTCTCTAGTCAAATTCCTTATTTTGGTTCTATATTGGCTCTCCTTGAGCCATTTTTTTTCTCTGTAGAAGTGTTTAATAATTTCGTAGTTGAATTGGTGGTTTTCGGGGTTGAATTGATGTTTTTCATAGTTGAATTTGTGGTTTTTGTAGGTGTTTTTGTGGTATTTCCGTAGTTGAATTGGTGAAATCAATCATAGGGACGTGATTTATGAAGAATTGTGTTGTGTTGAAGAGTCGGGGATGAAGACGGTGAATTGGAGAAGATCGTATTTTTTGTAGTTGTATTTGCTTAATTTTATAGTAGTTTGCTGGAATTGAAGGTGATTTTTTTGTAGTTTCAATACTTTGTAGTTGTTTTCGATAATTTTGTAATTGTTTTCAAATATTTGTAGTTGATTTCAAGAATCTTATAGTTGATTTTGCTAATTTGTAGTTGTTATTTTTAGGTAAACCTGCTAGTGAAAACAATAATTTTTTGTTGTTTTACAGTTTTTTTTTTATAGTTGATTCAGAAAAAATGAACAAAAAAATAGTTGTTTTTAGTAATTTTGCAATTAATTTCAATTTTCGGTAAACTTGTTGTTGAACGCCACAACTTCGTAGTTGTTTAAGATAATTTTATAGTTGATCATAGAAAAATATGAAATAAAAAAAATTGAAAAAAATTAAATTGTAGATTTAGGAAATATTATAGTTTATTTCGGAAATATTATAGTTGTTTTCGGAAATATTATTGTTGTTTTCGGAAAATTGTAGTTGATTTCAGAATTTTTTTAGCTAATTAAAAAAAAAAGATTTTTATTTTTTCATTTTTTAAAATCTATTTTAAATAAAAAAAGAAAAAAATAAAAAAGAAAAGAAAAAAAGACACTAAAATGGTGGGTAAAGGGTATTGAATAGGAGGACGGTTTTGGAATAAAGGAAGAGATGGATCAATTACTAATAAGTGAAAAGAAACTGCACACATCTTTATTACAAATAATAATATAGGGGGTTCTCACTAATAGTCCCTATTATAATACTACATCACAATAAACCGGAATTTCAGAAATTATTATTGGATTGGAAATCGGGATCTAATATGCGTTGTGAACGAGCCGAGCTCGGCTGTTTTGCCCAGCTCGAGCTCGAGCTTGAGTCCATGTTGCCGAGCTCGAGCTCATCGAGTCAATTTCTTTTGGCTCGAGCTCGAGCCAATTTTGACGAGCTCGGGCTCATTTAGTTGTTTTTTTTATTATTATTTATTTTTTTATTAAAATCATTTAATTTTTCATTAAAAAATATTTATAGGAAAATAAAAAAAAAAATTATAAAATAAATAATGAACTCTAGTATACATCTTTATTTAATTTTTATATTATTATTATAATATTTTATATTATTATGAATCATCTAAGTAATATAGATTTGTTTCTATTTAAATACTAGAAATATTTATTATTATAGACTATTAACTATTTAGTTAATAATAATAGTAACAATAATATATATATATATATATATATATATATATATATATATATATATATATATTATTCTGGGGCTTTATGTCAAAACCCCCTCAATAAAATTTTATGTTATGATAAATCAAATTTTTAAGTCGAAATTTGATATAAACTCATTTGACTTAAATTATCTAAAACGCCCTTATTATACTCTCTCTTTAAAATAACTTCCCCATAAATCTTACGGCATTTCAGTTTTTTATTTTTTCATTCTTTTTCTTTTTTTATTGATTTCAAAAAAAATATGGTTTTCTTAAATTAATTTTTTTTAAAATACTTTTATTTTATTTAATCTTTCTATTTAGTTTTTTTTTTCCAACAGGTAGTTTAGAAAATATAGAAAATATGATTTTAACTCCCAATTTTTTTTATGTTTTTTTTTTCAATTTTTTAATTTTTTTTCACAACGGTTATAAAAATTAAAATCCACTGTATATTCACCGAAAATTACTATATATTTTTGAAAACCACTATATATTTTCGAAAACCACTATAAAATTACCCTAAAAATCACGGTAAAATTAACGTAATCCACTTTAATATTAGCATAATCACAACAAACTTATCGAAATCCAGTAAAACATATGAAATCCACTGTGAATGAACGTAATCCACTACTAACACAACTCAAAAAACAACGAAAAAAATCCGCAAATCCACTATTCATAAATCCACTAATTCGAAACCTAAAACCACTATTTGAAAAACACACTATTTGGTCCAGAAAAAGTGCAACACCACCTCCAACAACAAGGATCGCGGGCGTCATTCCGGGTGTTGTACTACGGCGACACAACCACTTAAGTTTCATTCACGAACGCCCAAAACACACGTTCAATGACAAACCCTCTCTCGTGAAACTCACAGTGGTGCGACATGTGTCCAACCAAGTATCCGCCTTCTTGGTGGCCTATGCACCCTTCTTTCCCCATTTGCACAAAACATCCTTAATCTTATCGCATTATCTAACACAGGGCCGGCCCTGCAGTTCTGAATGCCCTGGGCGAACACGACAAAATGTGCCCCTAATAAAATAAATTAACGAAAAAGAGTACCCGATCGTTTATCATTACAAAAAACAAAAAAAAAAAAAAAGGTTCATCTACTAACTATTTATCTTCTATAAACTAAAATTTTATAGCCGAAGAGCCACCATTTTGTCCTTCAAGTAGCCAATTACCTACAAGAATAAACCAGTAGTTAGATGAATCATAGAAGATGTCTTCGAGTTGCACATTTAGAGGCAAAATCATCAATGATATCATCATATTGAATATTTTCCAACATATCTTTTTCAATAGATAAAATTGCTAACGCATTCATTCTACCTTGGGTCATTGTGGTACGCAAGTAGGATTTTAATAATTTCAATTTTGAAAAGCTTCTCTCGGCAGATGCTACAGTTACGGGTATCGTCAACAATATTCTATAAGCAATCATGACATGTGGAAACATATCCATCTTTTTTACAAACTCTAATATTTGAATAGCGGCCCATGGCTTACTTCTATCACATGATTCATTCGGTAACATCACTCGTAACACTTCTAATTCTGAACATAAACATTTTGCATCAATATCAGAAGCATCACCATGTTTCAAAGCATTTTCAAGTTTCACACAAGCATTCATCAAATCACCATCATCCAATGAAATCAATTTCGTAACATCAAATAAGAAACCAAATATAGATTCAAAGTATTGCAATTGTTCAAACCTGCTCTTCAATTGACCTATAGCAATATCTACAATAAAAAGAAAATAATCAATTCTAAAAGATTCTTCGGCAGATTGATTTTCTCTTTCATTATTAGAAACCTCATCGAAGTTTCTTTTTCTACAAATTTTACGTTTCTCATGAAAAAGAGGTTCAACTTCTAGTTCGTAAGCTATGTTTTTTGCCTCAATTATGGCAGAAGCAAACCCGTTTTCTCTATATAATTCAAAAAATGAAAGAAGTCCGGCCAATTGTTTTACAGCAATGTCAAGACGCATGTCCTCGGATTGTAATTTTTTGCTGACTAAGTTAATTTTATGCAAAATATCATGCCAAATCACCAAACTTAAAATAAATTCGAAACTTGAAAGTTCACCGGATGCTAAAGTTTCGGCATCTCTACTTAATTTCGCATCCTCACTGATTTCTACCAACTTAAACAAAGCTTCTCTAATTTTAGAGGCTTGAGTTTTTATTGCTTTTACAGATTCAATATGACTTTCCCATCTTGTTGTAGACAGTGATTTCAAAGTTAATTCATCAACATACTCAAGCAAAACATTCCATCTCTTTGTAGAATTAGCAAATACGTTGTATATGCATTGACATGCTCCAAAAAATGATTTTGCTCTAACACAAGAATTTGCCATATCACAAACAACTAAATTGAGACAATGAGAACCACATGGCATATAAAATGCTCTAGAATTAATATCAAGCAATCTTTTTTGCACACCTTGATGTTTACCTTTCATATTAGAGCCATTATCATAGCCTTGCCCCCTCACATTATCAATATCAAGTTCTAAAGATTGTAAAATAACTTGCAATTCATTGAAAAGTCCCAAACCAGTTGTATCTTCAACATTCAAAAACTCTAAAAAATATTCTTCAATTTTAATTGGAGAATTTGACATGTCTACACATCTTATTATAAGAGTCATTTGTTCTTTGTGACTTGCATCCGGTGTACAATCAAGAATTACCGAAAAATACTTTGCCTCTTTAATTTTTTTAATTATTGCTTCTTTGACTTTTGAGGCTAAGCAACACATCAACTCATTTTGAATCTTATGACTAAGAAAATGATAATGAATTTTTTTTTCTCGAATTAGTCGAAAATGTTCTTGCATTATAGGATCAAATTCCGCAATCATTTCAAGTATGCCCAAAAAATTGCCATTGCCATCTTCGTAAATTTTTTCATGTGTACCACGAAATGCCAAATTATGCGTAGCAAGACATTTAACAACGGCAATTATTCTCAACATAACATGCTTCCAATGTTTTGTATTGCTTTTAATTTGTTCTTGTAATTCTTTATCAATTGTGCTATTTTTGTTCAATCTCATTTGTAGTTCAACACAAGCTCTTAAATTAGTAAGGTGCTCTACGCTATTTTCATGTTGTTTCAACTTGGCACCTAAATGTTTCCAATCATTCACTCCATCGGTTGCTAAAGTACTTTTGGTGTTCATAACTTTAAACAACTTACAACAAAAACAAAAAACTTTATCTAACTCCTTTGAGTAGACCAACCATTTTCTATCGCGAGTCTCACCATTTGGTAACATTTGAACATAATATGTATAGGAAAAACGTCTAGATTCTTTATCCATGGGAAACTTGAAATTTTCATCTCTTTTAGGACCATTTTCTACAAGCAAATCTCTCATTTTTTTATCTAGACCATCCCAAGTTCTTGGGTCATAAATATTCAAAAGATAACTTGGTTCTTCATTCACATCATTTTCATTCTCATTAACATCTTCATTAGAATTATTTTGATTTTCTAAAAGTTCTTCATTCACATTATTTTCACTCTCAAAAAATTCTTCACTCAAATTGTTTTCATTCTCTCGATTATGAGTTGAATTTTCTACCGTGACATTGAACTTCTTACTCCAAAGTTTTTTAATTGAATCTCTTAAACGTTTATCCTCCTCTTCTTCGTTTTTCTTTTTTTCTCGTTTTTGAAATCCAGAGAGTTGTTTCATGATTATAATATATGATTCAATAAATTTATTGCAACAAGCAAGCCAATAACGCCCAAACAACAACCAAGTTCAAAAATAAGAAACTAAAAAAAAAAAAAAAATTCAACAGTTAACAAAGAAGGATAAAACCTGATATTAGCAAATTCTTCTCAATAATCTTGACCCATGCCTTGTGCCCTTGGAGGAGTTGATAGTTTGTTGGAATTGAACAATTATATTGCTCAAGCCCTAAGCAGTAAAGAAAAAGAATTTGAAGAAGTCCTATGTAGAAGCCAGTAAACCCTTCAACGTCTCTTTCTCTTTTTTATTTTACCCTTCAACGTCTCTTTCTTTTTCGTGTATTGGGCTGAAATTTATCTTGGGCCCCTCCTCTATTTTGGACTTCAAAATTTTTAGGCCTGTGTATATAA